AAAATATGCAATTGTATGTAGATTTAGACTTAAAAAGGGCTCGATTATTAAAAAAAATTAAAGATAAAATTAAAAATTTTAAAACAATCAAGTATTCTAATGATTTGCGAGAAATAAAATACACCGTAAAAAAGCTACAATAGAAATGGTGTTTGTTAATTCACACGAGCCATTCTTCTTGACCAGATAAAAAAAGAAAAAACAAATTTATACACAGGGAGGGACTGGAGGGAGGAATCAATTATCAAATTATCGAACAAAAGGGTATAATACTCCATCAAATTTTCAGGTCCACTAACATCTCATGGCCATAAAAGTACCGACGGAGAGGGGACAGATCGCAGGCACCGACCAAGCAGTCAAGACCAAGGAATTTATTTATTCAGAATTTACGTTTCAGCTTATTTTTTATATTATAACCAAATACTAAAAACTATATTTAAATTTATTTTTTTATAAAATTATAAAAAATAAAAAAAAAAAAATATATTTAAATTTAATTTTTTATAAAATTATAAAAAATAAAAAAATAATTTATTTATTCAGAATTTACTCTTCAATAAAACCACTTTGCAATAAAAAAAATGAGGCATGATAAAAAGTTATCATGAAAAAGCTATATTGTTAACTAAGATAATGTTTATATTAAATTTATAATAAAAATTAATTCATGACATTGACTCAATATTAAAATATATTAAAAAACAATTTTATTTCTTTTATTTCTAAAAAGTATCTGAACTTGAACTTTTAATTTCTCTGGTTTTTTTTTTTTTAAAAAAAATTGAACTACTCCTCTATTTTTGTGTTTGAATAAGAGAGTTGCGCCGAGTGAAGGCGCGCTAATTTCTCTCGGTGGAACTCGCAACAAGCAAAGATAAATATCTTCTGTCGGTAGAACTGGCAACGAGCAAAGATAAATATCAAGAATGACGGGCCTTGTAGCCTTTAAGATCTGCTGTGGCTAACAATTAGAAAAAATTGCTTTTATGGGAGATGAGCCATCAACGGGAAGAGTTGTGTGAAAATGTTGCGAGGAGACCTCGATTCCTTGCCAGTTCCTTCCGAACCTTTCTTATATTTCCCTGAAAGATCTCTTCAAAGATCAGCTGAAGATTTTCAACTGCAACAACCTTAGGATTATGATGCTCTGGAGTAACTAAAACATATTTGCAGGCAATTTCAAGGCCACAGTTTTGACAAATATTAGCACTCTATTTCCTGCAATCGCTTACGAAAACGTAGTGTGAACAAAGATTCCCCTGCTCTCAACTTTTTGATGCATCCTAAATGGCGCTAGCGCTCCTTCCTCTTCTTATTGGCCACTGTGTTTGTCTTTTGTGGACATGTCCACACCTCTAGATCGCCTGTTCAGCTGCGGATCAATGCAGGACTTGTAACATCCTTTAGAGTCCAAGATTGAGTGCCGAGATAATAATACTGTTATCGAGATCATGTCACATGATTACAACATCTGGTCACTCAATAAAGAGCTTCGTATTCTTACAGTTGTTCGAATGGAGACGAAGGATGATGGTTTCCCTAAGGATCTTTTTAGCATCACCCTCGACAATACTTCCTTTGATGATGCTCCTAAGAGTGTAAACCTAACTTTTGTATACAATTGCCCCCTGAAAAGCTGAATCAAAAACCCATTGCCTCAAAATGCCCTATAAAAGCTACGACTGCTGGAGTTTTTTATGTAGACGAACGAAAGTTGATTGGAAACAACATGAAACACAACTTCACATTTTTTTTTGGTGGCTTTGAGGAACATTACACCCGCAAAGCAAGAGTGAAGAGACATTTCGAATTGGACTACAAAGTTGATTGGAAAATTTGCTCGTTATGCACCACAACGATAGGTGGGCAATGTGGGGCATGAACAGAGAGTCTAGGCTTTACATGCTTTTTGCGAGCGAGGCATGTTCTCTCTTTATCAACTCGATGACCAAAATCATGAAACACAACTAAAGCTTTTTTTTTTTTTTATATATATATATATATTGAAACCTACTTTTCAAATCATGATTTTTTTTTATCCAGAAAACCATATTATGAATAAAATAAAATAAACACTTAAATAAGGAAAGGGAATTTTAACTAAAGAAAATTTTGATAAAAAGTAATAAAATAAAACTGTTTGTCCAATAAAATGATGTCACCAAAGTTTTTTGAAGAAAAAAAGATCATTTTTCTTGTCAAAGCGTGCTTCCTTGTTATGCCATGAAAAATACTTGTCTTTTATGTATCGTGAGTGAAAATTGTATATATAGATAGATTATGCGCATACATCAAATTTTTATTTTTTAATATAAAGTTTTAAAATTTAAAAAATACTATTATTTTATTTTTATCTACTCCTTTAATGTATTCATCAATTAAAATAAAGACTTCGTAGTGTAGTGTAAGCAATGAAGCTGGTTACTTAAGTAAAATTGGAAATGGACGTTAATCCCAAAAATTGGAGATTTCACCAATTTTTAAAAATTTAAGTAATATTTTGATGTTAATCTCTGCAAGTAAAAGATTTCGTCGAGATTTGGATTCTAATGAAAATTTTTGGTGTCAATTCCTATGGAAATAAATTTTTGATGGAAAAGGATATTTTTTTATTAAAATCATGATGCTAGTCCCTATTCAATATTCATGGAAGTTTTCGTCAAAATAAAATTCTATCGAATTTTTTTGTCTTCGACATGTCTGCCCCATGGACCTCTTAATGTTTGGACAAGCCTCATTAAGCTGTATAGATTGATTATGTAATCCCAAGCATGCATGCAAAAATATTTTTTGTAATTTTTATATTTTTATGAAAATATGTAAAGCCAAAACTTCAAAAATACTAAAGGTGAAATATATTTTTTGAATTTTTATTTTTTTTAAAGACCAAAACACAATTTTTGTTATTATACAGTGCCAGGACATGCAAAATGATTTTTTCTAGAGGACCTTGCCATGCAACTTATAAAAAGAATTTCTATATATATATAACCATCTTAGGACATCATGCTAAAAGGGCTTAAACAAAGGAAAGTCCCAAAACCGTAGAGCCCAAATATGAAAGACAGACTAGGCCCCAGCTCAAAAGCACAGCCCATTCAGGCAAGAAGAGCAACCCAGAATGCTAACTAAAGTATCATGGCTTAGACCCAAATGCAAACCAAACTCTCAGCCTCAACCAACAAGCCTTTCCTTCCCTTAAAAAAAAGAAATAAGGAGCCCACTAAACAATGCTAGCCCAAGCCTGCATCTTCCTTAAAAAACTACAAAGGGGCGAACAACTGTCTTTCTTGAATCAGTCTTTCACCTTTTTTAATTCCAGGAGCGTAAAACAACTGTCTAACAAATAAAAAAAGGTCAGCGTGACATTTATACGTGTCTGTGTAAGGGACAGACCTAACAAACCTAATTTTTTTTGGATTTTTTCAATAATTTTTAAAGAAAAATATTTTTTATGAAAATAAAAAATTTTAAAAGGTAAAAAATTAGATTATAATAATCATGTTATGAATAGAAAAATATGTTTTATATAAAAAATAAATATTAGATTGTAATAATCATGTTATGAATAGAAAAATATGTTTTATATAAAAAATAAATATTAGATTATAATAATCATGTTATGAATAGAAAAATATGTTTCATATAAAAAATAAATACATAAAAGAGGGAAGAGAATCTTAGGCAAATAATTTTTCTCACGGAAATTCATAAAATAAAACTGTTAGTCAAACACAATGATGTCATCAAAAAATATTCTAAGAAAAAATAAATAATTTTCTTGTCAAAGAAGCGTGATTCCCTGCTGTATCATAAAATTGACCTGTAATTTATGTACCGTGATGAACTTTTTACGTTTATAGAGTAAATAGATTATCCGAATACCCCAGATTTTTATTTTTCAATATAAAATTTTAAAATTAAAAAAATACTATTTTTTATTTACTCTTTTAATGTATTCATCATTTAGAATAGATACTAGGATAAGCAATAAAGCTAGTCACATCTCCTCTATTAAAACATTTGAGAATAGACAATGAAACTAGTTACTTTTTCTCTGTTAGAACATTTAAGAATTGACAATGAACATCACCGTTTATCTTCTTCTTTTCATAGTTCCCCTTTCTTTATTTTCATTTTATTCTATTTTTTCTTATTTTAATATTTTAATAGTTACATTTAAATTGGTTATATCAATTTAATTAAATTGAGACAACTTCTATATTATTTAATTTTAACAGTAAACTTAAAAAAAATCAAGTTAAAAGAGTTTTTTTTTATTAATTTTTTTATTTATTATTTGATATTATCTACTAGCAGGATAGATCATCTCTGGATCAACTAAATTGACTAATTAAGTTGAGATATACAATTTAATTTTAAACTTGAATTAAATGAGAAGTTGGGGTAAAAATTTTTTTTATATCAATTTTATTTACAAACTATTTAACTAGTCAACTATAATATTTTTAACCTGGTAAAATAAATAGAGTCATGTTAAGAATTTTTTTTTTATAATTTAATTATAAATATGAAATAAATAAAAAAACTTGTATCAAAAGATTTCAAGATTAATAAATTAAATTATATTTAATAAAAATATCAAACAACTCTCCTTATTTGCATTTTTTTACCGGCATTAAAAAGAAACTTTAATCTAACCTCAACATATCACAAACCTATAATCAATTGAAAATTAGAAGATTTTTTATTGCTGTTAATTTTTTTCTTAACAAGTAACTTTGAACTCTTTTTTTTTTTTCAAGCTGAAGTAATGATAGTTGTTAAAATCATATTTTTATAGTTTTCAGGGTATTATTTATTTTTATATTTAAAATTATGTTTATGTGTATTTAAAAGTATTTTTGAGATTGAAAAAGTATGGAACATGTCAAAAAAATAAATATATAAAAAATTATTTTAATATATTTTAATGATTTTGTTTTAAAGTATTTAATGCCACAATAGTAAACACGTCAACTGGAAGCAGGGGCAAAATTAAGATTTTAAAACTGCAGGGTGCCAAAATGAAATATATTACGATACATTTAAAAATTAAACAGACCAGCGATGGCTATAGTACATAACTTCACTTCAAGTTGTAAGAAGGCCCAGACGACGAAGGGCGCAGAGTTTTTTAAGCTGGTCAACTTGCGCTGCTTTCCTGACAATGAACGCTTCCTCTGGGCAACACCGACTTATACTGCATTGTATTCAACAGTCTAAGATTTCTAACCAGATATGAACGAGCCTCCTGCTACAAAAATTGTCAGAGGCAGAAAATCTGCAAAAATCAAGTCAAACTCACCCTCTTATAACTCCCGCTACATCGATTCCCTCTTCACCCTCCTCCCCCATAATCTATTCACCATCGTTCCTCTTCCTCCCTTTCTCTCTCTCCTCCAAAAAATCAAAGATCCATAAAAATGAACCTTAACTTCTTTTTAACACCTTTTTCTCCAATAATAAATCTCTTTATTGTCACTTTCTTTCTCCTGGCAAAGAAAGCCTCATGTACAGACCCTTACTTCCTAGCTTGCAACCCCAAAAGCTGTAGTGATGGGCAAAGCATAAGCTTCCCATTTCATATCCAAGACGTGCAACCCGACTTTTGTGGCTACCCTGGATTCAATATCTCTTGCAACGACAAAGGCAAGCCAGTCTTTAATCTGTCCAATAGTGAGTATATCATCCACGAAATCTACTACCAAAACCAGTCTCTTCGTGTCTCAAATGCAGCTGTTTTTGGCAAAAGCCCCTTCTGTACTCCTCAAATACAAAACATATCTCTAGATGATGGCAGGTTTCGTCGATCTTCTAACAGTAAAGACCTCTTCTTGCTTTACAATTGCAACTCAACGCTGCTATCAAACAACAGTGAGCTTTTAAATTACAAGGTTGATTGTCCTGGGGAGAATGAAACCGTTTGGACTCTAGCAATGCTCGAAGATGATCCTTTATTGGGTTCTACTTTAGACAAATGTGGAACTCGAGTTTTGGCACCTGTGGATGTGTATAGAGGTGAGAATGTTGGGACTGAAGGGATGCTATTGCTGGAAAGAGGGTTCGTGTTGAATTGGACAGCAAGTGATTGTAGCATTTGTGAAGAGAGTGGTGGCAAGTGTGGATTTGACACCGCCACGTACCATTTCCAATGTTTCTGCCCTGACAGACCTCATGCTAAGCGGTGTTATTCCGGTGAGTCATTTTATTATTAATTTTTTTCCTGTCTTGAAATTTTATCTCTATCTTGAGAGTGATGGCTAGTATATGGTATAGGCCCATTGCCCACTTGCATGTTTTGGCTAAGATAAGCGCAAGTTGTGTGTCGTGCTGGGATCGTTGTGTCCACGCCACCATGGTCAAAACATCTCTCTTCTTTCCACTGTCTAGATGAGGTTCATCTTTGCTAGGCTAGGGAATTCTTTGATGAACAGTGACATATACCACTATCACACATTCACCAAGAACAAAGTGTCTTTAGGTAGGGGCTGTTTAGGCAAAAAGGAACCCGTTTAAGGGATCGGACAGGTGGACTTGGCTGGATAAATCTAATTCCCTAACATTAGCCAGTCATTAGGATTAGGGATAAATCTAATTCTCTAAAATTAACAAGAATCGCTATGATTATTGAACGTTCAAGGGTTCATGCAGTCTCCTCTTGATTTTTATCTTACATTGGCTTCTCAATGATTTTTTTCCTACCGGGATCCTAGAACGTACTCGATATTCCCTCATGTGGACCTTCTATCACCCTAACTCACGCTGTCCATTTTTTGTCCTTTTCTTTTTTCATTTTTAACAGCCATTCAGTATAGAACTAGCTTAACCAAATCATTGGTTTAGTGCCAGAAAAAACAAAACATACATTTCATTTTTTTTTCAAGCCACATTCATTTTTAACTAGTCATCTTCTCCGTTTCTTGAAGCTTTGGTTTTCTGGTCTGATTTGTTTGATTTTAACATCAAACGACCATTTTAATCTACACAAATACAAAAATGGATTTGGAAACAAATTTATCTGAAAAAAAAGGACTCAATAACAAATTTGACATTGCTAGTAACGGTGTTGGATGGGAGAGCTCCATCGTTGTAGCAAGTCAAGATATCAAGTACAAGGACTGCTCTTGGAAAGCATATCATACAGGAAGCAGTTTAAGAAGAAATAAAGAGTAGGAGGACCAAATCCACCTTTAACCCAATCTTTTAAAAAATCTAGTCTGCTATGTTCATAACGCGCGCAGGTGGGACCTCGAACTCTCAACTTGAATAGCCGTCCTATTCAAAGGTATTTTTCTTCAATTAATGGTCAAAATATGCAAACGTACCAGAAATGAAGAATCAAACTCTTTTGCCAATTGTTTAGCTACCTCTTCTAGCTCTCTGATAAGCCATCGAGTCAGAGTAATAGATTTCCTTGCCAGCGGGACAGCTTTTGACTTGACTCTCTAGTCTTACGCCCGCAATTATTTATTGAATTTCTATCCTAAAATTACAGAAGATTAGTTCTTGATTTTAATTATTCAACGAGGTGTACTGAAAACTCAGGATGAGCGCGGCGAAAAAAATATTGTGCAACATCAAATAATTATTGACCGAAACTAGTCAAAACATCGAAGTCTATGACTCTCTTCTGCAAAAGAACGGGACCGGGGGAGTTCTCTAGATCGAAGGGACAATTTATATGCATCTAGAGCCTCAAAGTTGAAAACTTTAAATCATAGCAAACTGCTTTTCCTAATGAAGAGATATGACCATTGATGTTAAAAGGTTTTTTTTTTTTTTGAAATATAGGAGGCGGTATAGTCTGACCACCGAAAGAGAACTACTTAATCATCTGGTTTGAAAATTAATTAATGCTTAATAGACGAGGCCGACAAAGTGATGAAATATCCCGAGTAATAAAATAAGTCGTGCTCTTGATAACAACGTTTCCGGCCGAGAGGCTGATGATGAATCTCCATCTAGTTCCTTTGCATCTCCGATTCTTTGAGCTCCGCATCATTGCCAAGGAAGCGGCGGCCAATGTGGGCTTGAAGATGATACCAGTGTATTTTTCTGTGATGCTGGCATGGCTCTCTTCCATGTTTTTACTTGTCTCGTTCCAAGCTCTTTCTGGATTAGTTATGATCTCATTCTCTGGATCTCTTAAGTTTAGGTCTAGATAACTACATATTCCCCCCTTAAGGATTTTTTCTCATTTTAGTGGGATCATGAATTCTAATTTCATGCAGTTAAAGGATGAAAACACAGGTTACAAAGTGATCAATATTTTGTTAGAATAAGTGGTAGAGATCGCCGCCCCCGCCCCCACCCCCCCAAGAAACATGGCATTGCAAATAGCAGGCAATCGATATCATATTTGTATGACCATTCCTCTTGTTAGTGGCAGATGCTACCCTCAGTATCCAGGCACCACTAGGCAATGTCATAATTTGATTTATCCCAGATTCTTGGAAGATAGTCTTAAACCTATATTAGTCAGCTTAGTAGTCTTTTTCTAGTGTAATTGCTAGGGTACAATCCCATGATGCTCCAGCCTACAGGGGAAGGTAACAGGCAGGTTAAAATGTGGATCCAACAAGGTAGGGGATAATAGACATGAACAAAATGGTGATTCAATGGAGGAAATGAGTTATTAGTTCGATCACCAAAACTGTCTGTCTTTAATGCTTTCAACTGTGTTCCCATATTCGAAATGCTGGGATATTAGATCCCGTACTGGGTTAAAAAGAAAAGAAAAGAATGTCAGGCCTCTATAGCACAAGGAGGAGGGAAGAAGACAAGACAACCATGGAGAACCCATGACACCCTGGAATTATCGGACCTTCATTATGTAGTTATTTCACCACAATCTGAAAACCTTATAATTCCGTTCTCTTTAACCCTTATCTGCTTCACTGACAAAGACCACCCAAAACTGTTGCCACCAGTTGATGGCCGTGAATTGCCCTATCATAATTCAACCATTTTGCATTTGAGAGATGATTACGACCTCAATTTACCTATGGACTTCTCGATGATCTCACCACATTTGAATTATTTGTCACATGCCAACTCTCTCTTGACTCCAATTTCTAATATATTACTACTGCAATACCATCGATAACTTCTGCAAGCTTGCAAACCACGTAGTGAAGTTCCTGTTTTATCATCATCTTCGTCTTTTGATTCCCTTTCTTTTAGGAGAACCAATCGCATATCATCTTTTCCTTTAACAGTCTAGACGTTAATAACAAGCTGCAAAAAGGTCCTAGCTTATATCACCACATGATCATGTTGAATGTGTGGGGCTTTTCTAGAGCCAAAGCAAAGTATTTCTACTGAAGTTGGTTGACTAATACAAAATTTTACATATTCAAGCTATATTTTCAAACGTGTGCCCCACTGCCCAGCATATGTAATATTTCAGTTCATCTTCACAAGTCTTCTGAATCAAATTTCATAGTCGAGTGCCGTTTCAATGGGTTAAGGAACTAAGTACATATGTAAGTTGCCTTAGCGGAAAGGTACAGCCTACAGAGGCCTAGCTGTTACTGTTAAGATTCGGAATCAAAACAATTAAAGCTTGATTTATAAATCATATCTTAGAGATTTAGTTTGATTGTAATTTCTGTAATTAAGTTCTAAATATTAGTTACTAGTCTGTCAGTTTACTTATTTAGACAAGATCTTTTCTATATAAACTATGTATATGGACCGTAGAAATCACAGAGAATAATAAAGACTACTTCGCTGTTCTTCAAACTTCTTCTGTCAGCTTTCTTGCTTTTGCTTTATTTAGTTACTAAGAGTAAGAGCAGCTAATCCTTGTTTGTGTCACTGTTCTTTTTATTTCCTAAATTGGAAATCTCAGTATGGCGCATGCTTGTCTGTTAGTATTCTTTATTCTTTTTCACCTCAAACTTCCTCTCTCCGCTGAAGAAGAAACTAGATACCATCCAAATTGCCAGCCCTTTCATTGTGGGAAACTCGGTGAAATCCACTTCCCTTTCACCAACGTCTCACGTTCGCACTGTGGTTTTTTTATGGTTGACGGTTGTGATAAAGATACGCAGAAGATCCAATTAGAGAGGGAAGGGAGGTGGTATGAATTCTAAATTCCTCTCGTAGGCGTTGGAATGGACACACTACCATTTCAGTTCTCACGATGAAGTCCTCTGGCAGCAGTAATTTTCCCATGATAGCAAAACCTTCAACAATTTGACTTTTCCTTGGCTCCCTTTTCTCTTCTTGCAATATATGCCAAATCTGTCCTTGTTCAAATGCAAAAACCCTCACAGAGATACAAGCCAATTAGATTCAATTGATGTACCCTGCAAAAACTAAAGTATCTACCGCACTCGGGAATTCGAAAGTTTACCGCGTCTTCAACCTCAGTGTTCGCTTATACAGTTTCCTGGAAACAGGAATCAACCTACAATGACATATTCACAATGCTTAATGCCAAGTTCACACTTGAAGTGCTAGTATCTCCTGCCTGTATGCACTGTCATCTTGGAGGAGTAGAATGCCAAATTAAAGAGCAAAAACTTCTTTGTTCCATTTCAAAAGAAGGTATAGACAACATAACACATGCATAAAGACCTGCATATCTACATTGTTGAAGCCTATATATTTCACTATATTTTGTGCTCTAATAGTTCTTAAAATTTCATAACCGTATAGAGTTAGCTTTAGCTTTAGAGCCCTTCGTTAAACATGCCCAGCGGATAAGAACTCAGTCTACTGCAGTGAATCTATGTTGGAAAAAAAACTTCCAAGGTTTGAACCTTGGTATGTGTGTATTCTTTAATTTCTGAGGTTAATTGGTTCTGAATCACTTTAGTTTTATTGTTCGACCTCATATAACATCATGTTTCTTTGAAAATCTTTTTGCAGAAAAAGACAAGCTGGGATTGAAGCTAGGATTAGGTAATTCAAAATCCAAAATTTCTCTGCTTTATATGTTTCCATGACAACCTCCATAATTTCTAGCATGTATGGATTCCTGCAAGGCTATCTGTCATCCAAAGTATAAATCATCTGCCATCCAAAGTAATTCTTTCCTCTATCAGGTTTAGGCATCGGATGTCTGTTCATGGGAATAATTTTGTTGTCCTACATTTACCTGCGCCGCTTCAAGAAAAGACGTGATTCCTCAAACTTGTTATCTATGAATTCTTCATCTGATCCCTCCTCAAAAGCAGACCTAGAAGGAGATGGTGTTTACCTCAGCATCCCCATCTTCTCTTATACTGAACTTGGGCAAGCCACCAATAATTTTGATAGTGAAAAGGAACTTGGAGATGGAGGTTTTGGAACTGTTTACTATGGTAAGAATATGAAAGTTTAAAGTTTCTGCTGATAGATCAACTATACTACAGTAGAAAACTGCTAATCAAAAGAAAAGGAAAGCTTTCCTAAAACTCAAGCAATTTGATCAGTGGGTTTATTTTGAACCAGGGAAGCTCAAAGATGGACGGGAGGTTGCAGTTAAGCGCCTATATGAACACAACTATAAAAGGGTTAAGCAGTTCATGAATGAAATTGAAATTCTTACTCGCCTTCACCACAAAAACCTCGTCTGCCTTTATGGATGCTCTTCACGACGCAGCCGTGAGCTACTACTTGTCTATGAATACATTCCCAATGGCACTGTTGCTGATCATCTACATGGAGATCAAGCAAAGTCCAGTCCACTGACCTGGCCTATTCGAATGAGCATAGCAATAGAAACAGCTAGTGCTCTGGCTTACCTTCATGCTTCTGACATCATACATCGTGATGTCAAGACGAACAACATCCTCCTTGACAACAATTTCAGCGTGAAAGTTGCAGATTTTGGGCTTTCCAGGTTGTTTCCCAAAGACGTTACTCACGTCTCGACTGTTCCACAAGGGACTCCAGGCTATGTTGACCCTGAATATCACCAAAGTTACCAACTTACAGATAAGAGCGATGTCTATAGCTTTGGAGTTGTCCTGATTGAGCTCATATCATCAATGCCTGCTGTTGATATAACCAGGCACCGGCATGAGATTAATCTTTCTAACTTAGCAATAAGCAAGATTCAGAAATGTGCATTTGATGAGTTAATTGATTCACGTCTTGGGTATAATTCAGACGAGGAAGTTAAAAGAATGACAACATCAGTTGCAGAGTTGGCTTTTCAATGTTTGCAGCAAGACAAGGAAATAAGACCTTCCATGGAAAATGTTTTGCAGCAGTTAAAAATAATTCAAGGCGGGGAGTCCTTGGAGAATCTTTCTAACTTAGCAATAAGCAAGATTCAGAAATGTGCATTTGTTGAGTTGATTGATTCACGTCTTGGGTATAATTCAGACGGGGAAGTTAAAAGAATGACAACATCAGTTGCAGAGTTGGCTTTTCAATGTTTGCAGCGAGACAAGGAAACCAGACCTTCCATAGAAAATGTTTTGCAGCAGTTAAAAATAATTCAAGGCGGGGAGTCCTTGGAGAATCTTGAAGAAGTGCATGACGATAACAAGAGGTCGAAGAACACAATGCCACCACCTTCACCACCCTATTGCGATGAGGCTGGTCTATTGAAGAACATCCGTCTGCCACCTTCACCAGTTTCTGTTACCGCTAAATGGACCAGTAGTAGTTCTACTACACCTAATGAAAGCGTTTAAGTTTTCTTCCTCCATGCCGCTTACTTTCAAGATGGTTGATGAGAGCATGGCTAATACCTGGTTTGAGTGCACATGCACGTTACCTTCTCCTTGTCGTCGTTTTGTTACACCCAAAAATTAAATCCTAGGCACAGCATTGGCGAGTTTATGTATAAGGGAGTCCATATAATTACTGGAGGTTAAATCACTAATGTTTATATTCAGGCTTCAAATCACGGCTCATTTTTTTTTTATGCCCTTGTTCTTTTGCTTTCTACATATTGATTGTGTTTAGAAAGGCAGAACTTATATTTCACTTTTAGTCCTCTAATTAGCAACCACGGAACCTTGATAGCCACCAACTTATAGCAGAACAGTGAAGCAAAGCTTTTGAAGTAGATTCATCCCTAATCGAGCGCAAGCAGCTTCAGATTCTGTTTCTTAGTAGCAACCCAAGACATGTAGTTTATGAACTGAAAAATATAAAAGAACTGGAAAGTATTATGCTATCCATTTGCTTCAACACGCCCGTTCCATCTTTGTTCAGCCTCGTCACGGGCAAGTTTATAAGATCTATTTAATATTTCAATTAGTTAAAGAATTTAAGTTAATGAAATTATAATAAATCAACATGAATTGTGGAAGTTTTTTAATTGACTATTTATTTTGTACTATTTGATATCATGGTTTTTTTTAAAAAAATTTAAATACATATTATAAATATTTTTGATTTTGACGAATGAAAAGAGCAAACATGCAACCAATCATCCATATCACTTATAAAATCTAATTAAGAGAATCAGTAATTGGAAGAAGGCAACAATGGACAACAACAAAAAAATGCATGTGGAAAAAAATTAATTACTTGAAAAAAATTGAGATTGAAAAAATCATAAATATGGGAAGAAGAAGAAAGCCGGGTTAGGCACACAATAGGTCTGCATGTATGGGCCTGATTGCTGAACTCCTAGGCTGGATGGGCCGGGCCCAGTAACTTTTAAAAAAAATCAAACAAAAGTGGATGACGCGTTGTTTGCAAGGAGTGACGTGCTGTCCACCGCATGCAACTTTCGATGATCATTTTGCCGCCGAACAAATAGGCATTGCTGTTTCTGGCCCTTCACATACTCTTTTTTTTTTTTTTTTTTTTTTACCTAAAAACACCAACCAATCATTCGGTGAAAACCATTTTGAATCTCAAAGCACTTTCTAAGGCCTTGTAGAAATTACAAAAACCAAACCTTCCTGCCTCTCCAGTCTTCTCTTTCCTCTTTCAATGCTGAGGGACCTTGTTGTAAGAAAAATTAAGTTTAGGGATATTTGCATACAACTTCTTAACTTCAAGAACCAAAATGTAAATAAAAAGAATAGATTCTATAGTTTGATCTGATTTTCATTTTCTCCCTTGTACTTTTATAAATTATACTTTTCATTTTGAGCAAACAAAAAAATCAAACCAAATATAATATTAAGGACACAAAATAATATTATTGAAGATATAAACTATACAATAAAAAATATAATTTATAGAAATATAAAAGGAAAGTGAAATTCAGATACAAGTAAGAGTTTTGTAATTATTTCTGTAAAAAAATACACAAAATTTCCACAAAAAATAAAAAATATTTGGCAGAACAACCATATTTAGTTTTAGCTTCTTTATTTTATTTTAATATATATAATAATAATATAGTATAAAGTGCGGTCTGTCATTTTTTATTGTTGAAGCGTTAGGGATTCAAGTAAAGGGAATAGAATTATGGTTGGCGGTGGGATTTAATGCTGGAAAATAGACTTGGAAAAATACGTCGCTGAAGTCTTCTTTTCCTTGCAATTGTTTTTTCATCATTCATCAAGTCTTCTCTCCCAAATTACCAAGTCAATCTGCGTGTTTATTAGGGAACGGTTTCTTTCCTTCTTTTTCAAGAATTAAGGAGTCGACTGTTTCTAAGTGATGATCAATAGAACAGGCAGGGCAGCTGGAAATCTCACATGAACTTCCTTGCACTTCTTTCAATCCATTTCACAAGTCTTCCATATCAAATTTCCAAGTAAATTGACGTGCTTAGTAAGCACACAATAAGATATATTGCAGATCACAATAATTTGAGACCTTATTTCAGTAAGAGAACTTGATCCTCTTGTCGGTGTTTCCGTTCCTATTTTTGTTTCTTAAAATTGGGAGCTCGGGGATGGCTCCCCGCCCCTTGCTGGTTTTCTTTGCCCTCTTTCACCCTTCGCTACTTCGCGCTTCTTCGCATCAAAAGACGAGCGTGAATGAGTGCTTAACATTATGGAGTAACATGGATTCATTATAATATAATAGTATAATTATTATTTTGCTCTTCCAATAATATAAAAAAAAACACAATGCAATTGCTATTTGGGCAAGATAGCCTTTTACATATGAGTCATCATTATGAAATCAACTAAGGATCCATGACCTTTTTTGTAATTTCAAACTATGTTTTAGATATTAAAAAATTAATTAGGAAGCTATTTGATCTTTAGACAAACATAA